CCCCCCCCCCACACACACAGGGTATGTGCAATCCCTGGAAAGAGAAAGTAGAAATCAGCTCGCAGGGATCACGGCCACACCGCAATTCCATCTCCATTTTCTTCCTGGGATTTTGGATACTCACATGTTTGGCATGATTTTCAAGCTCCCAGGGATGTGAACTGTGGTGGACCACGTGGGAGTCCAAGGCCTTAACCACCATGCCACCGGCTTGCTCACGTTGGGCTTTTTAAAATTTTTAACAAATAATTCTTTTTTTTTTAAAGATTTATTTATTTAATTTTACTTATTCATTTGTTTATTTTAATTTGACCAGAGAGAGAGAGAAAGTGAGAAAGCAAGCCACCAGGTCCGGGACTCAAACCGTTGTCAACCATGTGGGAGTGTCCAGCACCTTAGCCACCACACCACCTGCTAGTCCCATATTGGGCTTTTAAAACAGCTGTCAGGTCTCTGTGGGTGCCGTCTCAGATGTCCACCTGGGCTTCTCGGCAGGGACCATCCAGGAAAGCCGGCTTGGATGAGGCAGTGTGTGAGAGGTGAGGGCGTGGGCGCGCGCGTGGGAAGGCTCCCTGGAGCTGGAGCAGCGACCTCCGGTTTGCGTCAGGAGCAGAGCTCGGGAAGGCCTGGCGGCAAGAGGAAGGACCGCAGGGAGAGGCCAACTCTGCAATGACACATCTCAGCCGCCAGGCGGCGCGAACCAGCCGGCAAAACCCCAGGTCGCGGGTGGGAAGCTCGCGGGCGTGGCGAAAGAGAGTTTCTCAAATTGGGTCTTGGCCTAATCACGCGGTGCATGCTCCCGCTGCTTGCCCGTGTCCCGATTTCTCCCCTTTGCAGAGAACTGCAGAATGTCAGAGCGAGGGTCAGACTCGAGGGGTCACTCCATCCAATTCTCGGGTCCTGCGCGGGGAGGGAGTTGCCGCAGGTCGCTCACCAAATTAGTGACAAATTAACAGGATTTTCAGCAGTCTTGGGAATATGGCTGTTTGACAAGCTCCGTCCTGGCCTCAGTTTCTGAGCAGGAGACGTCCGGCTGTGGCCAGACCTCCAGGTGCTGTCCTGGTAGTCACTGCTCCAAGCTGTGTCTCCCTAGCCCTCTCTTCTTCCTTTCCCCCTCACAGTCTCTCGGTTTCTATTTTATTTTTCTTGGACTTTTCCTCTCATTTCCCCTTTTTAATGCGAGAACATGAAAAAGTTCATGGAAAAGTGGAATTGGTGTATGAATTAATTTTGGTGCAAAAAGTTTTGAAATTTATGCATACTTATTTCAGAATGCAAGTTTCTGTGAGCTTTTCCAAGACTGTGCAGTCTTACCCTGCCTTTTTCTCTCTGGGTGTCCACCCGCCTGCCTCCTTGTCTGCCGCCTGTCTCCATCTCTGCCCACTGGGGAGTTTGCTCAGCTCCCTCACTGGGTCCCCAGAGTGGAATGTTTCCTGCAGTCACACTCCAGGGACTTGTCGCTCTCTGAAGCTGTTTTCCAACCTGGTGTCTCAGTTCCTTCCACTCCTGGGAGCCAGAGGAGAAGTTATCTGTAGTGTAATTGGGGGCGTGACTTCACGTGGTGGGAAGGACCCCCAGTGACCCCGCTTTATCTGTAGTGTAATTGGGGGCGTGACTTCAGGTGGTGGGAAGGCCCCCCAGTGCCCCCGCCGCCACTCCGTGTAGCTGTAAACACTGCCTGGCACCTGGTGTGGGCGAGACCCTTTGCTCATGGAGAAATGAGTAAGAGCCAGATCCTGCCCAGTGAGCTCACCTCGTGGGGGTGAGGGCAAGAGGAAACAAGTACGGAGTGATTTCAATCTAAACCAGAACACTGAGTACACAAAAGGCAGAGAAAAGGAGTGCTTTGTGCGGCCCGGAGCAGGTGGAGACTGTCTGGGAAAGCCTCCCCAGAGCAGGTGGCCTTTCACTGCCCTTGAAGGGTAGTGGGCTCTCAGAAGGAGCACGTGTGCACAGGGCACGTGTGTGTGGGCACACACTGAGTGCAGCAGGTCTCGGCCACAGCAGGCCCTTGAGCAAGGCGGTTAGGCCCCGTGGGGAAGCAGGTGGGCTGCAGTCAGGAGCACCTCGAGTAAGGCTTTCTGAAAGAGCCGGGAAGCCACTGCTATTTCTGAGCAGGGAGGGGTCTGCTGAAACCTTAGCTCTGGAAGAACTGCGGGAGACGCTGCATGGCACCTCACTGGTCCTCACCCTCAGTGTGAAGGACCGCCGTTTCGAGTTTCACCTGGAGCAGGATCTGCTGGGAAGACAAGTTGCATGACTGAAGGTTCTCGGGGAGGGACGCTGTGTGGCTGTGCAAAGAGTGGAAGAGGACACTGGACATCCCAGGCCTGGCTTCGTCTACACTGCCTAGGCCCGAGACCCGCAGTGACCTCCCAGGAAGAGACCAGCCTGTTTCCAAGGTCTTATCCATTCAGTCCTGCACATCCTCCTGTGGGGTCATAATCAAAGCTCCCCTGGGGTGAGGGCACAGAGAAGGGTCTTCACGTCCATGCTGTCCCACTCTGGACTGGGGAAGGGTCTCCATGGCCTTGCTCTTCCCTCCCAGGCTGAACTCTAGCTTCCGCCCACTGCCCTGGGACTGCAGATGCCTTGGCCCTGGGGAGGAGGGGTGGGGCCGCTGAGTCACTCCCTGGGCATCTGGGCCTGGAACCGCAGTGAGTCACCTAAGACTGTGAGGGGAAAGGGGCTGCTTGCCATCTGGAGGGGGAGGGCAGCTGGGCTCACCGGAAGGGCGGTGCCCAGACTGGGGCTGGGGTGGATGAAAGCAGTAGGAGGAGGGGCCCTAGGAGGGGGCAGCGTGAAAATCCCTCCCCTGGGCTACTCTGAATGGCCCGTGTAGGCCCTTCTCCAGGCATGGGTAGGGGTGCGTGTGTGTGTGCACACGCACATGTGCACAAGCAAGGGAGAGGGAGGGTCTGGGCTACTACCTCTGCTTGGGCTTGGCCTCCAACGGCTTGGGAGCTGGTCCGGCTTTGTGTTTTCTGTCTGGGGAGGTGAGGGGTGCCCCTACCCACTTGCCGCTCAGGCTGGACAAGCAGGGGCCGCAGGTCTCCCGTTTCCCTTGAACACCTTGGGTCTTCTCATGGCCCCCCACCAGACTGTTGCTCACGTGAGTGGGATTGTACGTAGACCTTCCCTGTCCTTCGGCCCCTTCAGACATGGGGGTCTTTGGACAGGTTTGTAAGGATACTCAGTTACCCTGTTGCCTCATAAGAGGGAGCCTGGGCCCAGTTGGTGGCGTGGAGGTTAAGGCGGCTGGGTCCCACAGGGCCAACTACCTGGCTCGAGCTCTGGACTGGGCTGCCTGAGGAACATGCCAGGCCTGTGTGTGTGTGTGCCCCAAACCCTGAGAGGAGAATGGAGAAGGGATTGCGGCGTGCTGTCCTCCATGGGGGTGCTCTCTCACGTTCCCTCTCTGTCTCTCTGGTGTGCACATGTGCCTGAGGCCTGCCATTTAAAGTAACTGCATGTCCCCGCCCCCAGGAGAAGTCTTACTCTCCTCTTCCTGATGCCCCATCTGCCCTGTCTGGGCCCCCATCCTCTCAGAGTGGCCCACAGGGGTGCACAGGCACACACACACACACACACACACACACATGTGCACACACTGGCCCGCCTGCAGGCAGGTGCATGCAGCGTGAAGCCCCAGTGTGCCCGCAGCCTCTGACGCAGGAGTGAGCTCTGACTCACGGGCTTGTCATGAGGACGTGGCCCCAGAGCAGTGTCTGTCCTTCTCCCCCAGCCCTGCCTCCCCCTCCCCAGGCCGCCTCCCCCTCCCTGCCACGGCTGGGTGGGCTCCTGCTGACAAGCGCCCCTTCAGCTGGTGGTGCGCTGGCAGTCTCTGCAGGGAGGGGACGGGCCCAGGGGGTGGGTGGCAGGAGGCCAGGCTTTGGTAGGAGCAGGTTAGGGCAGGTTGGGTTTCCTCAGAATGCCAAGCGTGGGGGGGGGGGCAGCGGGTGGCGTATAAATCTCCCTGGGTGCTCAGCAGCTTTGCCCTCTGCCTGGTCTCCCCCACCACTTGGTCTGGTGAGTTCCTTGTCTTGCTGGGGGCTGGGGGCTGGGTCTCTGCCTCTGTCCTTCTGTCTTTTTCTTCGACTCCATGGTTTTCTCACTCTGGCCTCCCAGGTGGGATCAGCCTGAGGCTCCTCTGGGCCCCTTCCCATGGTGAGCTGTTTGTGAGGGGCTTCCCAGGTTGCTCTGTGAGGGCTCAGTTTAGGGGTTACTCTGAGGCTCTCTTTTGGGTCTCAGCCTCTGAGGTCCCTCTGTGGCTTCTCAGCCTGGGGTCCCTCTCTGGGTGTCACGAACTGGGCATCTTGGTCTCGGGGCTGTCCTTGGGGGTCGAGTCTAGGAGGCAAATGGTGGGAGGTGCTTTAATGAGAATCATGAGTTTGTTTTGTTTTTGTTTTTGCAAAGTCCTGAAAACCCCTCTGGGCTGAATGAATGGTTGCAGTGTCCGCCCTGCTCCAGGTGCGAGGTTCTAGCAGGGCCCAGCAGCCACAGACAGGTCTTAGGCGCAGCCGCTCTGTCCTCTGCCTGATCCCGTCTCCACGCAGGTGGGGCTGGCAGGCTGGGCCCAGGGCTATCCCTGCCTCGGGCAGCAGCTGTTCTGGCCTCACCCTGGGACGTGCCTCACCTTTCTAGACTGGTTTGTGCATCCTCAGAGGCAGGGCCTTGGAAAAGACCCGTGACAGTCTGCCCTTGGGCTCCCAGATTCTGCCCTGATCCCAAAGCACTGGATATTCAATTTCCTCCATTCTCACCCCAGCAAGACCTTTCCTGATGGGGAGGATGTTCTGTTGCTCCCGCCCTACCTGTGCCCTGCATAAAAGGTAGCCCACAGCTAGGGGCCTGCAGTGTGAGGGGAGACGCATTCCCCACTCTCAGAGAGCCCCTTGTCCGAAGGAGGAACCATCCACACCCCAGGGAGCTTCCAGCCCGTGGGTGGAGAGAGGAGCCGCTGGTCTGAGGCGGGAACATCTCCTTTGGGGCGTCACCCGTGGCCAGGGCTCTGTCCAACGATGCAAAGGAAGCCAACATTGGTCAGCCTGGCCACAGCCTGGAGGCAGACAGGATGCTGGGTCCCTATCATTTTCCTTCTTGCAGATACTCAAAGGGGAGCACCCTGGGGGAGCCGGGGACAGGAGACATGAGCCTGCCCGCAAGGGCTCCCAGACACATCTGCCCTCAGTGTCAGCAGCGGGCCCTGCCCCTCTCCCCTCTCTCCGGGGAGAAGGATTGGGGGCACAGGGCAGACGTGGCCCTAGCAGGCTGGGTGGAGGGCCCAGGGGTCTTGGCAGTGTCTCCCTCACACGCCACCTCTGCAGCTCCAGATCCAAGATGGCCAGTCCCCTGGAGCAGGCGCTGGGTGTGATGGTCTCCACCTTCCACAAGTACTCTGGCCAAGAGGGCGACAAGTTCAAGCTGAGTAAGGGGGAGATGAAGGAGCTTCTACACAAAGAGCTGCCCAGCTTTGTGGGGGTGAGTGGGCAGGGCTGGGGAAGGGAGGGGCATCCTGGCATGAGTGCGGTGCTGTTAGATCTTTTCCCTTCCCCACTCCTGGGTGCCTGCTGAAACAGATACCCGACTGGTCCAGCCCCTTGCTCCTCCCCACTTCTGCTTCGCAATCTTGCCAGAGTAGGAGTGAGGTCTGAGTGTCAATGCTCTACTTCAATACTGTTTGTTTTGGGTCTCGTTTGCTATAGGGTGTGGGCACTTGCTGGAGAGAGAGAGAGAGAGGTAGAGAGAAAATGAGAAAGGTTCCCCCTAGGGAGGATGGCCGTGCCACAATCCCTTCTCCTCTTGGGATTTTGGACACACATACACACATGCCTGGTGCCAGGTCCAGGACTCGAACCACCCAGCTAGCCATGTGGGAAACGGCCACCTTAACCATTAAGCCATCAGCTGTCCCATACTGCTCTAGTAATGGTGGCGTCAGCAGCATTCCAGGGAACTGCCTAGTCTGGGTTCTCAGAGTCTATTTGCCTAATCCCCTTATCAGAAGGCTGAGCCTCCCAGAGCCCAGAGTGGGGAAGTGACTGGCCCTAGATCACACAGCTCCTTCCTCTTATTTTCCGTAGTATGTGCCAGACTAAGAAAGTGTACAGGGAGATTACAGGCCAGCTAAGATGTGCCCTGGGACGCTGTGCAGAGAAATGCGGTCTTTCGGTTTGCCCCTTTCCCTTCCTAGACTAACTCACGGTAAACCATGAGTAATCCTTAGACTTTGAACACAGGAAGAAGGTCTTCTCTCCTTTTGTTTTGGATTTGTTCCTGTTTTTGGTTAGACTTTTCTAATTATTTTGGTTGGTATTTAGAGAATTTGCCAGTTCTGGCCCTGTAACACAGTGAGTAAGCACTGCCCAGAGGGAGCTGATCACACAGGGCTGACTAGGGTTTGAGTCCTGGCCCTGGGGACTTGAAAAATAAGCCGAATGCACATGCCCAGCATCCTGATGGGATGCAGAATTGGAGGAAAGGGGACTGTGATGGGACCAGCCTCTGTTGGGGGCTGCACACACATACACTCTCTAGTGTGTGTTCCCTTTGGCATTAAAAAAATAAATAAAGGGAACCAGCAGTTAGCGTAATGGCTATGTCGCTGGACTCCCACGTAGTCGACCGTGGTTCGTGTCCCGGACCCGGTGGCTTAAAACTCACGCTGGGCGCATGTGCGTGCGTGCCCAAGATCCTGAGAGGAGAATGGAGGAGAAGGGATTGTGGCGTGACCATCCCCCCTGGGGGGTGATTTCTCGCTTTCTGTCTCTATGTCTCTTTCTGTCTGTCTGGCGAGAATTATTTTATTGGGAACCAGCAGTTAGCATAATGGCTATGTCGCTGGACTCCCACGTAGTCGACCGTGGTTCGCATCCCGGACCCGGTGGCTTAAAACTCACACCGGGCGCATGTGCGTGTGTGCCCAAGATCCAGAGAGGAGAATGGAGGAGAAGGGATTGCGGAGTGACCATCCGCCCTGGGGGTGATTTCTTGCTTTATGTCTCTATGTCTCTCTCTGTCTGGCAAGTGTATGCGCCCTATAGTGAAAACCTCTCCAAAAAAATATATTATTTTATTTATTCATTCATTTATTTTAATTTGACCACACACACACACACACACACAGAGAGAGAGAGAGAGAGAGAGAGAAAGAGAGAGAGAGAGAGGGAAAGTGAGAAAGCAAGCCACCAGGTCTGGGATTTGAACCTTGGTCAGCCATGTGGGAGTGTTCACAGCACCTTAACCACCATGCCACCTGCTGGTCCCTAAAAATTTGCTTTTTCTAAATTAGCTCTTTTGGAGATGGAGACAGCAAGCCTTTTCATCTGCAAAATGGTCCCATGATCTACCTCGCTGGGCTCCTGTGGGATTCGAGCTGACATGTCTTAGAGGCATGCCCGGCACTCTCCCCCCTCTCAGCAGGTGCTAGAGGGTCTCATCAGTGAAGATCTGTCCACCCTTACTCTCTTAGTAGCTCCCAGGGGCTCCCTACCCACCTGGTGTCCAGCTTCCCGGTGGGGAGGGAGAGCTGAGCACTTGTCTGAGTGTGCCTGTGTGGGGTCTGGGCGTGGTGGAGGGATGAGGGCTTGCTTGGTGATGAACGATTCCCTCTTGCTTCAGGAAAAGGTGGATGAGGAGGGCCTCAAGAAGTTGATGGGCGACCTTGATGAGAACAGTGACCAGCAGGTGGACTTCCAGGAGTACGCTGTTTTCCTCGCCCTCGTCACCATTATGTGCAATGACTTCTTTCAGGGCTCCTCTGACCGACCCTGAAACAGAGGTTTCAACTCCCTGCCATGGATTTCATGGGCCCAGGGTTCTCTATCCCTTTTATTTTTGTACTCAATAAATTCTTTTTTGGTTGTTAATACTTTAATTGCTCAGTAATGTATGATCCATAACCCGACTGGCTCAGTAGGACTGTTGGAAATCTGGATCCCATCCCTTTCTGGGCTCTGACTCTAGCTCTGGAGATCTCCCCCAGGCCAGAGCTATGCCTTAGGTCCTAAACGCCAGGATGTCAAATTCCAGTAAAGATTGGGGAATTGAGGTAGTTTGCCAACATTTTATCCTGCCAAGTAAAGATGTTTAAAAAGGCAAATATTGGGACCAGCAGTTAGCATAATGGCTATGTTGCTGGACTCCCACGTAGTCGACTGCGGTTCGAGTGCCGGACCGGGTGGCTTAAACTCATGCTGGGCGCGTGTGCGTGCGTGCCCAAGATCCTGAGAGGAGAGTGGAGGAGAAGGGATTGCAGCGTGACCATCCCCCCCGGGGGGTGATTTCTCGCTTTCTGTCTCTCTGTCTCTGTCTGTTTGGCTGGCGAGCGCACGTGCCCTATAGCAAAAACCTCTCAAAAAAAAAACTGCCCTAAACCAAAAACCCCCCAAAAAAAAAAAAAAAGAATAAAAAACCAAAAGGCAAATACCACCTACCATCACTATCATTTCATAAAAAGAACATTTCAGTCCAATAAAGGAATCTATGATGTCAGAATGAAGGGCACACCTTAGCACTGATACTGCGAGCAGCAAGTTGTACTGGGACCTGCTCGAGCGATGTGAATGAGTCTCAGCAGCCCTGCGAAGCTTTGTCTGAAGAACTCTGTCAGATTATAGGCAACAGGCAATGCTGTAGTTTCAACGCGTCCCTCGAAGTTCCTGTGTTGAAAACTTGATCCCAAACATGACAATGTTGAGGTGGGACCTTTAAGAGGTAATTTTGGCCCAGCAGGTGGCATGGTGGTTAAGGTGCTGGATTCTCATGTAGATGACTATTCATGTACCTGGCGGCTTGAAAATCATGCTGGGCGTGTGTGTGAGCATGTCCAAAACTCAGAGAGAATGGAGGGAAAGGTACAGTGGTGAGGCCGTCCTCCCTGAGGGAGGGGGTGCTTTCTCATGCTCCCTCTCTGTCTCTCTCTGACAGCTGCCCATGCCCTATGATGAAAACCAAAAAACAAGAACCAAAAAGCAAAAAACAAACAAACAAAAAGAAAGGTAATTTAGGGACCACCAGATGGCATGGAGGTTAAGACGCTGGATCCCACATGCCTGATGCCAGGTTCAAATCCCTGACCCAGTGGCTGGAAAATCATGCTGGGTATGTTTGTGTGTATGCTCAAGATCCTGAGAGGAGAATGGAGGAGAAGGGATTGTGGCATGGTCATCCCATTTTCCCCTGCTCCCTTTCTCTCTCTCTCTCTCTGGTGAATACACACACCATATAGCAAAATTAAAAATAATAAAACAAAGTAAAAGATGAATGGATTAACGCTGCTATTGCAAGAGTGGGTTCCTTATAAGAGGACAAGTTTGCCACCCCCCACCCTTGCTGCCCTCTTTCTTCCTTTCGGAGAGGTTTTTGCTATACGGCACGTGCGCTCGCCAGAAAGAGAGAGACAGAGAGACAGAAAGTGAGAAATCACCCCCTGGGGGGATGGCCACGCCGCAATCCCTTCTCCTCCATTCTCCTCTCAGGATTTTGGGCACGCACGCACACACGCCCAGCATGAGTTTAAACCGCCGGGTCCAGGACTTGAACCGTGGTCGACTACATGGGAGTCCAGCAACATAGCCATTACACCAACTGCTGGTCCCCCTTGCTGCCCTCTCTTTGCCCTTTACCATGGGGATGATACAACAAGAAGATCCTTATCAGATGCTGGTCCCTCGATCTTGGACTTCCCAGCTTCCAGAGCCATAAGACAATAAAATCCAATAAAATCAATAAAATCATTATAAATTGTCTGGTCTTTGCTGTGTTTTTTTTTTTTTTTTTGTTTTTGTTTTTAGAGAGAGAGATTTTTGCTATAGAGCATGTGCACTTGCCAGACAGACATAAAGCAAGAAATCATCCCCTGGAGAGATGGTCACACCACAATCCCTTCTCCTCCATTCTCCTCTTGAGATCTTGGGCATGCATGCACATGCACCCAGGGTGAGTTTCAAGCCTCTGGGTCCAGGACTCAAACTGTGGTCAGTATGTGGGAGTCCAACAACATAACCATCATGCCATCTGATGGTCCCTGGTCTGTGCTGTTCTATTGTAGCAGCAGAAAACTGCCTAAGACAGGCAGTGTACTAGTTTTTTTTTTTTTGTAAATGTTTTTGCCTTAGGATACATATGCTTGCCTAAGAGAGACCGAGACAGAGACATTGAGGAGGAAAGTGAGGAATCAACTCCCGGTGGGATGGCCATGCTGCAATCCCTTCTCCATTCTCTTCCCAGGATCTTAGGCATGCACACACATACACCCAGCATGAGTTTCAAGACATTGTGGCGTAGCAATCCCCACTCAGGAATGGGGTGATATTTCACTTTCTCTCTCTCTCTGTCTGTCTCTGTCTCTCTCCAATGAGTGCACACACCCTGTAGCTAAAACTAAAAAAAAAAGAAAAAAAAAAAGAAAGAAAGAAAGAAAGAAAAAAGAAGCAACTAGAAAGATATGAAGATATGACAGTAAGGAGAACAAGCATAGATATCAGAGACTACATGGGAAGGGGGTGGGTTTGGAGGGGGGGTAGGAGGAGCTCAGAAAAACATTTAACACACAAAAGAATATAAGGCTCTTGGGACCAGCAGTTAGTGTAATGGCTATGTCTCTGGACTCCCATGTAGTAAACCACGGTTTGAGTCCCGGACCTGGTGGCTTAAAATTCACGCCAGGCACGTGTGCATGTGTGCCCAAGATCACGAGAGGAGAAAGGAGGAGAAGGCATTGTGGCATGGCCTTCTTCCCCTCTGGGGGGTGATTTCTTGCTTTCTGTCTCTCTGTCTCTCTCTGCCTTTCTGGCGAGCGCACGCGCCCTATAGCAAAAAACTCTCAAAAAAAAAAAAAAAAAGAATATAAGATTCTTTGCTGAAAATGATGTATATAGTAATATCCTTAATTTGATTATCACACACATTACACGCATATTTTGAAAAAACAAACCCCCCCAGGGGATGCTTTCTCATTCTTTTTTTCTCTCTTTCTATGGTGATCACACGCACTCTATAGCAAATTTGATAAAAATATCCTTGAGTCAGCCCTGTAGCTTAGTGGTTAAGGGAGCTGGATCCCACATGCTGACTACGAGTTTGCGTCTACTGGGTGTCTGTATGTATGTACAAAATCCCAACAGGATGAAGAAATGGAACATCACCATGCCCCCTGGGCGATACTTTCATCTTCTCCCTCTCTGTCTCTCTGCCTTTCTCTGGTGAGTGCACATACCCTCTGGCATGGAAAAAAAAGATTCTTAGAAGTCCTCTTGGAGTCACCAGTGAGCCAGCAGGAGGCTGTTTGACAGCAGGGGCAGAGCAACACCTAGATCAAAGGAACTTGTTTCATCAAGTTCTTCTGGCAGCTAAGTAGATAAGAAGTTGAAGAGGAAAAAGCAAGTTACTCCAGAAACACCTGGAAAGACTCAAAAGAGTGGTGAAGCTTCTAGAGCTCTGTCATCTTCCAAACAGAGCAGCAGAGCAGCACAGATGGTAACATGTTTCAGATTGGGAAAATGAGATATGTCAGCGTTCAGGATTTTTATTTTTTATTTATTTTTTTAGAGAGAGATTTTTGCTATAGGGTGCGCGTGCTCGCCAGAGAGATAGAGAAGGACAGGGGGACAGAAAGCAAGAAATCACCCACTGGGGGGATGGCCACACCACAATCCCTTCTCCTTCATTCTCCTCTTGGGGTTTTGGGCACACATGCACACGCGCCTGGCGTGAGTTTTAAGTTGCCTGGTCTGGGACTCGAATCACAGTTGTCTGTGTGGGAGTCCAGCAACATAACCATTCTGCCATCTGCTGGTTCCCAGATTTTTATTTTTAAAGAATTATTTAATTTATTATTATTATTATTATTTAAAAATTTGCTACTGGACATGTGCACTCACCAGAGAGAACGAG